CCTTGAGGGACCTGGATCCAGGGTATAGGGATGAGGGATACAGTGGATCTCGAACTTTCGTGGGACAACGGAGATCACAGACGGTTGCGAGATGATGTTGGATGATTGGAGAGCTCGGATCCACGGCGAGTGTACCATTACAGTGAGGTGGATCCAAGCGACCTGGATCCGGATGAGTGTACCCATAATAGGGTGACCATGATGATTACGTCATATATCCGGTGGATCTGAAGATAACACAGCTGGGATGATGGGTCAAGGGAAGAAGGGACATGCAGCCAAGCCTGGTAAGGGATTTAGCAGATGAAAGACATAGAAGGTAGAAACCCAGGCAGGTATAGGCTTAAATATCAATACAGTCCTCAATTTGCACAGTATCACGCAAGTGCCTTCCTGCCCTCAAGAACCGGAACTACATTGGCCGTACGAGCTCCGAGAAGATTGGGAATTGCGAATCTAGTGTTGGTAGTGATAACTGGATAATACATTGGCCAGATCCTACAACCTAGTGAGCTTTTCCTTTACTCGTGCAGATCCGACAGGTTAACCGAATTTACTACTTGGTCGGTTACACCCTAGAGGTTCTCAACTCTCAAGATCCCGTCACAGGAGGCGGCAAGTACGACTTAAAGGACAACACAAAGGCAAGGGAACACACCCGCAAGGCAACCCTACGGCTAGATCCACGATCTAGGCCCCGGATCCATAAGCTCGAATATTCGCTTAGGATACGGAACCATCCACGGACGCAGAGTGAAGATTTTCCACTGCTGCTCCACCCCATCCCCACGTCTCGCCAAGACACTCAAGCTTCACCACTTGAACTCTTCGGAAGTTACCGAGAGAGCAGATCCCGCCCTACCGACGGGTACACAAGGTGAGGAAAGTTCAGCAGAACACGGATCATCGGGGGACCCCCTCCGTTAGTCGGTGTCTGGGCGCAGTTGGTAAGTTGGATCTGGCAATCTCGCAGATTTTGCTGATCCCGCTACACCACACGTATGGCAATCGAAGGCGCTTTCGGGCTGCTAAAAGAGCGTTTTCGCATTTTGAAGATCCCACTAGACGAGCGCTCGCCGATGGCTTCTGTGCGTGTTATTGTAGCCTGTTTGGTGCTACATAATTTACTAGTGGACTTTCAAGACGATGCCTCGATTGAACTTAGCGCACGTGGAGTTATGGAAGACGACGGAGAGGTTTTTAAATACAGCGCCAACGATAAAAAATCACGTGCAACTTTAGGTTCGCAAAAACGAAATGACATTGCCGCGCTGTTTTAGCATCGAATAGACGTTTGGTTCTGGTGCGTACGTTTGGTTGCCTAGCTTTTATATGTGAAGGCTGCGACTAGAGCAGCAAGGTTTTAATTTTGAACGCGTATCTGCTCCATCAGCTCGTCTTGACGCTGTATCAACAGGTTGAAGCGATTATCTAGTCTCTCAGCCACTGCGCTCTCGTCTGTAGCTGGTGCTGGTCGCATGGCTGCTGCCATGGTTTGAAAGCCATCGGCAATCGACTGCATGCCGATCTCGAAGCTGTCGCCCATAGCTTTTCGCTTTTTACTGCGTTGTTTGTGTGGAGATTGACGGCGTGTTTTTTCATCGCTACGACACTCGTCATCCGACAGAAGCTGCGTTCCATCTATCTCACTGTCTGCAAGTGCCTGACCATTCATACCCGATGATCTGTCTCAATAAAACCTACCGTCTTGTTAGATAATAATAATCTCACATAAGGTTACAAACTGACCCCGCCCAAAACGCCTCCATCAAGTCTAGCCCTGGAGGTTCGGCTACTTCGATCTCCTTGTTTCCGGTCGATCGCACGTCGGCCTTGTACTCCGCCCACTTCTTTTTCAGCCACTTCAACTACAAATAGGCATCGCACAGCATGTTAGAACCATTAGTGCTAGAACAAGAAAATATGACAACTCACCTTGTTCTTGCACTGGTCGGAAGAAATGGCCATCTTGACGCTGTCGCTGAGGTCGGTTGTAAGCAGCACCCAGCACGCACCAATTGCCGCGTTGTTCTTGGATTTGCCGAAACGTTCAGCATAAGTCTTGTAGCGCAGTGACATCAGCTCGCGAACCATTGCATCACTCCATTCAATAGAAGAACTGCTCTTTGTCTTGACTTTTGAAGCTTTCTTCATCCTTTTTAATGGTTTTTTTTCATTACCACCACAAGCAGCCTTTGCCCCAGCACGCGTGCCATCATCGGCTATATCGACATCGGGACGGCCAGGTGAGTCAGCGACATCGACGCAAGCGCCCGGCTCAGAGTGGCTGGCGTTTCTACCAGAGCTTACGGCATGCTGCTGCAGCACTACAGCATTTACGTGGCTCTCCATCGACGGGCGCTGCCACATATCATCGTATCCCATCAATGCCGCCATGTTCGGGCCAGGAGTAGCGGAGGATGCCTAGCCACAGGGAGCGAGCATGAACGGCGGTGGCACGCTTGGCATGGCGGTGGTCGCAGATGATGAAGCCAGAGCTGGCATCGAAGTGACAGTAAACGCCATCATGGAGGCGAGCGTGGCAGGTGCCACGCAGCTTTGCATCTTCGCGCAAATCCGTCGTTGTGTCAGTGGCGACGGACATGGCAGATTGAATCGATCCTTGGCAAGTGACGCTTCTTGAGCTGGCAGTGGTTGGCGGCGCTTGAGCGCATGTTGGTGGTCACGCTTTCCCCCAGAAGCTTGCGCGTTCGCAGTGCTTGGCCAGAGAAATTGTCAAATTCGAATCCTCGAGGGTTTTCCCCTAGACACAAGTGCACTCGGAGCACTAGACCGAGAACCAGCACCAGCCAGCCCGACCAGCCCCTAAGCGCATTAATCTAGCATCACAACTTACAGGTTTATTAGACGGACGATGTGAACGAGGCTGTCGGCAGAGAACAAGAACAAATACCTTGATTTCGCTCTATCGACTTCAAACAGCTGTAACCGTTTGCAGTTTTCCATCTCGATCGGCTTTGTCTGTGTCACAGTGAAATTTCAGAGCAAGTACTCGTCAGTTTTAAAGCCTACCATCGCTACTGGTGTTTTAGAACCTGACCGAAAGAGTTCTTTGGTGAGCCCTCGGTTTACTCAGCAGAGGTAAGGTGGCAAGAAATGTACTTAAGTGGGAAAATAATATAAAACATCATCTATTAACACTATCTAATATTTTCCAAATCTCTGAATAAATACTAAAATACTACTTGTATTATGTTAGCTTTTGAAAACTTAGTTACAATTAATAGTTTATCGCAAAAATGGTACTATTCCTTTTAAAAATATCATACGATATAAAGTTTTCCTGTTTCAACGGTAATCATTGTGCTTATGCCGTCACTGTACTCTCGACAAAGCTCCTTAGTGTTGCCTTCGCATTTTCAAACAGACACAACACAAAGCGACGTCTACTACAAAAGTGATGAGCCCGCGACCAGTACAAGAAAGCCTGCTAATCATCTTAGGTGCTCGACTGGCCCGCGTGGAGGCATACCTGGGCCTGACCGAAGATTCAGACGGCGAGGCACCGCAGATTCACGCCTACGATGAATACGTCGGCAAGTACTTACCACCATTCCTTAACGCATGTGAGAAGCTCGGAGGTCACGTTCTGGAGCTAGGTTGGGCTCGTAAGAAGGCGTTCACTGGGCAGCGATCATTTCTGCTCATGGCTAGCCAATGCAAAAGACCCGACGGACTTTTCGAGTTTGTCAGAGGTGCTGTCCTGCATTGAAGAGATCAGCACAATCCGCGACAACCGTAGTGAATTCGTAAACCACGTGTATGAAGCCGCGCAAGCGCTGGGGTGGTTGTGCGCTGAACGCACGCCCAAAAAAAAAAAAACTACCGTCGACTCGTTCGTGGAAGGACTAGACTTTTGGGGTAACAAGATCCGCGTGCAGCACAAGACTTCTAACCTCGATCATATGCCTTCGTGGAAACGCTGAGGAGCTTGCTATCACAGCTCGCACAGTACATCAGAAACTATCATCTTGTTGGTGTCACTTGGAACAATAAGGGACGCGACGTGACCAACTACACGCCCGACATCGCTAAATCTGGGACCCCTGCTAGTGGTGGTATGGTCAACGTATTCGCCGGTATTAAATCCATTGACCAGAGCGGCGGCAAGACCGCCGGACTCAAGAAGGTCACGAAGGACATGCAGACGTGGCGCAAAGACTACCAGCCCGACGGCGCTGCGCCTGTAGCTGCTACTGCTGCTACTAAGAAGCCGGCTGCACCTGTCAAAGTCGCCAAGCCTGCTGTCTGTGAAGAGCGCAACGGGAACTGGCAGATCGAGTATCAGACTGGCCCCGAGCCGCTCACCGTCAGTGGTATCAGCATGAAGCAGCAAGTGTACATCTTTGGTTGCGAGGGTGCCACCATCCTGCTGGAAGGTAAGGCCAAGAACATCGTGTTCGACTCGTGCAAGAAGACCAAGCTCATCTTTGACAACGCCGTGTCCAGCATCGAGGTCGTCAACTGCAAGAGTGTACAGGTGCAGTCAAGGGTGTGGTACCATCCGTGGCCATCGACAAGACGGACGGCTGCCTCGTGTACATCTCATGGGAAGGTCGTGAAGTGCAGTTCGTCACGTCCAAGAGCTCTGAGATGAACGTGGCGTTCCCACAAGGTGCAGGCAGCGACGACTATGCGGAGAAGCCGATTCCGGAGCAGGTCGTGCACAAGATCATGGACAATCTGACCATCTCGTCCGACGTGTCAGCGTTATATTCAAAGTAAACCCACCGGAATCCTAATGATATGTTCTGATACGTCCGTGCCGTGCCTGGGTAGAAGCCAATCTAAGTCGTGACGAGATTCGCATCAAGTTGTCCTCTATTAATAGACACACTGAAAACCCGCCTCTGCCAAAAAACGATGTGTATCTTACACGAAAGTGAAACTGAATGTGGTGTACGAGCCACCGGTTCACCCTATATGTGGCGCTGTGATTGGTCGAATACCGTTGACCTTGACTTTCATTCTCGATTCTGCCAGACTTGATATCTGGCATCGTAACGTCCAACGCCTCGTGCTCTAACGGCCACCGCTGCCATGGAAACCGGTCACCACATGCTGCTCCGCAGCCACACCAAGAAGCACCAGACGCAGCAGAAGTGCCTCGTCCTGCCGTCGAAGGAGCAGTCAGCCATGCCGTCTCAACCGAGCACCGGCAAGCTGCACACGTTCGAGCGGCTGCATGCCGAGGGTTTCGCCTATCTGGCCGACAACTCGTACATCCGTTCGGGTTACCGACTGCATTACTCGGCGCGTGACTGCTTTCTGTCGCTCTTCGAGCTGCACAACGAGACTCTCAACGTGTGGACGCACATGGTCGGATCGTTTATTTTCCTCATGCTTATGGTCTATCTAGCACTCTCAAGCCACGCATTGTCCCCTGCGGCTGATACTGCAGCGCTCGCTGGGCTCACAAGCCCGCAGACCTGGTGCGACAATGGCCAACAGTGGATTGTGGACGGCCGTCACACGCCACGGATGCTGCTGGCCTCTGGCCTGACCGAGCTCTGCCCGCCGCCTACGGGTCGCGTGGCGCCGGCCAAGTACTACGAGGTGGCAAGCGTCATCTTTGACCACAGTCTACAGCGTTTGCCCAGTCTCGAACGCTTCCACGCACTCGTGGAGAAGAACGTGGGCGGCTTCTCTGAGTCGGTGGGTGCCCAGATGGAGCAGCTTCGCAGCGAGCTGGGCGCGTTGTCGGCGCGTCTCGGGGGCCAGATGCGTGACGCCCATTCTGAGCAGGTGCAGTCCCTCAAAATGCAGCTGGGCGAGCGTGTTGAGTCGCTGTCGGTGTTCCTGCAGGACGTGGCCAGTCAGGTGGGAGCGGATCTGCCCATGAAGTACGCTCTGGAGGAGCTGGACGGCGTGGCCGAGAGTGTACGCAAGGGTCTCCACATCTTGGCCACCGCTGAGGGCCCCCACAACGTGCCGCACTGGCCAATCTTCGCCTTTATGGCCAGCGCCGTCATCTGCTTGACATGTAGCGCCACGTTCCACTTGATGTTCGTGGTCAGCCGCTCGGCCTACATGTTCCTGTCCCGTCTGGACTACGCTGGCATCACAATTCTAATCGCGGGGTCCTTCTATCCCTTGATCTACTACTCGTTCTACTGCCATCCGTGGTTGCGCACCGTCTACCTCACGTCCATCTCGACCATGGCCGCGCTCACTTTCGTTGTGGCGCTCATGCCGATTTTCGGCACGCCCAAGTTCCTCGTGGCACGCACGTGCATCTTCCTGGCGCTGGGCTTCTTCGGTGTGGTCCCCGTGACGCACTTGGTGTGGCACTTTGGCCTCTTCGACCCTCACGTTACGGTCATGATTGGCCCGCTGTTGCTCATGGGGCTCCTGTACACGAGTGGAGCCATCATCTACGCGACCAAGTTCCCGGAACGCTTCTTCCCCGGCCGCTTCGACTTGTGGTTCTCGAGTCACCAGCTCTGGCACATTTGCGTCGTGGCCGCTGCGCTCGTGCACTTCGCCAACGCTTTACAGCAGTATGAGTGGCGCTGGAATACACAGTGCGAGGCATAGCTAGAGACGTGCTTGTTGGTCGCATCTCAAGGTGCCGCTGGCGGGAAGACGATGCGGTTAATTAAGAGTGCGCCTTTCAGATCTTATGCTTCCGGTTGCTATTTTGGTCGTAAACCCCTTAATTGAAGCTCATTATTAGTGTACCTGTTACAGTTCGAATGAGTGGGCCCTCTGCATACAAGAAGGCAGCTGGTGCTCCCGTGGCGAAGCTGCAGCTTGAGTTGCCACCAGCGCTAGGACATGAGATGAAGAGCACAGGACGCTGCTCGTTCGATACTCAAGGTCGATTCGCAGCATTCGAGCAAGCCTTGGCAGGCGACGCGACTCTTTCGGCCTCTCCTCGAACACGCAACATTCAACGCCTCAAGCCTTCGTATATATCGCCAAGGGAGCAAGATCGCTATCCCCAGTTTGCAACAACAGCAGCGAAAGGTGCCGTGGCCGCTCGACTGGGACTGGCAATCCAAGCCGCCCAACAGAACTCGCCCACCACACGGACACCGTATCGAGCTCCAAGTGATCACGAATTCCGCGATCCAACGTCTCCGATCAAATGGGCGCCTCAGGCCCATGGCCGCGACTTCCAGACCAACTTCACATTGCCCAGTAACCAAGACGTCCGACGACGCACTGCACGAGACCAGGAAGGATTCTTCGGGGCAGCCCCAGGTGAAGACTCGAAGCAGCAAGCGCAGGAAACCTTAGCGACCAAGCCTCAAACTGCTCGCTCGCCAGCGAAGTCGCCACCTGGTAAACCTGACTTTACATCTCGGGTGACGCACACATCTCGCAAGAGTGCTAACAAGTCGCTGCGACTGGAGACAATTCTTGACCAAGACGGACTACTACCTCAGCTGCAGGAGATCCGCCAGCACAGATATCGGGACGAAGTAATCCTTTTTTTTTCATCCTCTGCAACGACTGTCGCTCACATGACACTCACGCATTTTGTTATGATAGACCAAGTCACCTGTTCCATTCCTCGCCAGCTTCCGGCCGGCTTCACCTCTGAAGCCAATGTCACCTCACTGACTTTGTTTGTCTTCTCCATTTTGTCTCCGTCTATTCATTCCTCCCACACTGGACCGGCCAACAGGTTACATTACAACAAAGACACATACTCTTAGTCATCCTCTCAAGTAAAACGCGGTTTACTCTCGCTCGTACAGTACCTTGTTCGTCTGAGGAAAAAGCGAATTGGCGGCGATTTGCAGCCTCGACCACAGCCTCAAGCCCCGACAAGTCGATTCTGGTGTACACGGGGGGCGGTGATGGAGGCCGTGCGCTTCTGCTGTTTGACTTTCTTCGTTGCATGGGCTGCTCCTCATCTGCACAAGTAGCCAGCGAGTTAACAACAGAAAAGGAAGGGGGAAAACCAGACGGGTGAGTACGAACTGGTAGCGGATGGGAAGGCGAATTGGTCGTGACGAGGTGCAACAAGGTCCACAGTTCTGTCTTCAGTCTCAATGTTGGTGACCACCGGGGCTGGCTCAGGTGAAGAAGTGGGCTGAGCACGCTTAAACAGCATCGACAGTCGCCTAGGCGTTGATGATTCGTGCACAACTGAGCTAGCAGTCTTGCTCTCTTCGCTGTCACTGACTTTGGAGCTCGAGCGCTTAGATTTGCGTGGTAAGACACTCAATCGAGGCGAAAGCTGACGGAGTAGGGATCCTTCACCAGCTTCTGCTTGACTGTCTCTGTTGCTGCTGTCGTCTTCACTGTGCATCGATGCAGGAGACTTGGACTTACGACTTCGGAGACGGGATAGCAAAGTCCGTCGAGGTGGCGCAACAGCAGCAGTGGAAGCAGTGGATTTCGGCGTTTCTTCCTTCTCTTCAAGCGAGTCTTCATCATTTGATGGTCCACGACTGAAGACTTTCCCTTCTGAGCGTGGCGCAAATATTCCGGGCTCGATATCCAGTAGAGAGTGTGATGCTAACCCAAACGGAGAAGAAGACGGCTGTAGAAGTGTTAAATCACCTTCTTCTGAGGCTGAAGAAGGCACAAAAGTAGATGGGAATGTCGGCATGCGCGTGAACAACTTGGAAAGCAGCACTGGGCTTACTGGCGGAGCAGACTCACCCCCACTTACGGCAGGACTTGCTATCCCTTCATTCTTGCTGATTCGTGTAGCGTCCCCTGCACGTGACTCTCGGGCAACGTTGCCTGTAGATTCTTGACCAGCCCCAGCGATATCGATAGGTCGGGCTTCGTCACCTGTTGTCCCCTCCTGCTGTGCTGCACGTTGCGATGGAGTAGGCCACACACTCCGAACGGGTCGGAAGTAGCCAACAATCATCTCTTCACTGCTCTTTCTCTCTCGACCTTCCGACTTATCCTCATCGTCTAATGGTGCAGCTTCTTCAGCCGTAACTTCCTCAGATTCTTTAACTTCTTGAGCATCTTGAGAGGGCACGGCCACGTTGGCAAAAGACACAACTCCGCCCAAATCCTCTCTTTTACGCAGCGCCACATTCAATCGATGCAGCAACTCCAAGCGTTCCTCGTAGTGATGCAGTGCTTGCTCTATGCTAGGCCCACCAGACTCTTGCAGATCAGCGTCTTCGGTCTCAACACGCTTGTCGCCTGTATCTTTTGGTGGCGTCTTCTGTTCAGGAACTTCGGCGTGGCCAACGTATCGTTCTACCAGAAAGATATTGCGTGCTCGTGCTTCTTCCACTGCGCGACTTTCACTTGGTATCAAAAACCACAGGAGCTGAGCTACAAGCCAAATACTCAGCACTCCGATCAGCATATAGCCAACTCGACGCTCGACTGAAATATCTGCGAAGTTATCCGCCGTGAAAAGCGCTAGTGAAAGTGCAACGGGAACGGACAGTCTGACCATGAGAGGCGTATAAGAAGCCCAGAGTCCCAGACCAACGTCATCGCCCTCGCCTGGTTCAGGTCGTTGCCGGATGCAGCAAAGCTCTAAAGCGTTTTGTCGTAACTTGACAGCACAGTCAACTAATGCCAGGAGTGGCAGCAATGGACACACACTCGAGAACATGGTCACCAGTCCAAGTTGCATCATAATTTGTACATAATCCTTGTGGGGTCCTGGATACGGTGACAACGCCTTCGTTTCGTCTTCGTATTGTTTGCTCTGATCCCCTCGTTGGATCGCGTAAAAGCGTCTAACTGCAGACAAAATCAGCAAGATGCGAATACTCAATTGTACTGCCAAGATGGCAACCAGCAGAGTCTCCATCTGAATGAAGATACCAACGTGGCCTTCAATGCGGGAATTGTAGGACATGTAAAGAGGACCAAGAGGAGCCACGAGATGGACCAGTAGCGACAATCCACCCACATCGCTCAGCATCAGTAGAGCCAGTCCAGTGAAAGTGTTAAATAGCTGCAGCATGAACAGTTTGGCGACGAACGAGCTTTGGTAATTGGGGTAATCACGTGAGCAGTGAGGAGCTTCCCACTTGCTGAGAGCATGAGCCACATCAGGAATGCATGCGCCATTCCACTGCACCAAGAAAGCTTGACAGATGCAGGATCCGAGAACTGCGAGCTTCTCTCCCCAAACATCAGCAAGTAAACCCTGAGAAAGAAGCACCGCGAGTGTCACCACTAAGTTGCCATATCCCAGCACCAGAACACACAGCCACGACCCAATCTGTCGTTGGATGGAAGAGCACAGCGAGTGCTTGTACTCAGTATTATGATCCGAGTTGTAACTCGGAGAACAGTCGGTGCTGGTAGTGACACCCCATTGAAGCTGGTACCATACTCGTCTCCGTTCCCAAAGTTTAGCCAACACAAAACTCCACGCGATAACTACAACGCCAAGAAGAAGCTCGACTAAGGGAATAGTAGCATTAACCTTGTCAACCTCGTCGGTATTGTCGATCTCAAGATAGCTTGGAGGGGTGTAGAAGTTCCACAACGAAGTCATCAAAGAATGCTTCATTTCGTTGACCAACGCAGCCATCGAAATAGCAGCAGGGATGATCATCATTTTCCCGTAGAATGCGAGCCACGCAAAGTAAAACGCAATCTCCTCTCCAAAATAGTCACGCACATCTTGAAGTGGTTGGCGGAAGGGAGCGATTCGACCCATGAGGTTCAGAATTGCATGATCCTTCGGGTAAAACTCTCCCGGGAAGTGAACGGGTCTCCAAAACTTGATCCAAGACGAAACGAGAGCACCACGAGAGTTCAAATCGAATCTGCCGGAGCTGTGAAGACAGTGAAACGTCGACAACAAACCACTTGCGATCGTGGCGTTCGTGTCAAACTCAGCGTCGATGATACGTTTCGTTAGACGGATACAATCCACAGTCCGCAGCACAGCAGAACGGCGATATGAGTCGGGGACATCAAGTTTGTTTGGATATTTCTTGTAGATGAACTGACGCTGAATGTTCAGCGAGTAGCTGGCGAACGCGGGAGCTGAGTTGTGACAACGAATTAATCCTCTGGAAGCGCGGGATATTCTCGAGAGAGCATGTACACGAGCAGATACACGAGCAAGCGACTCCCCTGGGAACCACACAGCTTCCTTTGGAGACATCGCACGCTCTGCCAACAAAAGTCTCAACTTGTGCTTAGCCGTATTGGCATCAAGAACCTTCTGGTCCGTTAGCACCTCCTTTTTGTCGTGCCAGAAAGACCTCCCAGGGTCGATTGCATCTGCGAACTGTAAGCGGTACGAGTCGGTCTCGCACAATGTCGCCAGTAGGAGGTTGTCGGACGCAAAAATGCGGACAAGAAGGAGCTGGCCGTCCTCGGATACACTCAGGCTCACATCCAACTTGCAGATCGCTGTTAATCGACGCAGCATTAGGGTGCGTACAATTGCACTTAAGTCGTTCGCAGACACATCCACTCGTGGAGTGCGCACATCTGATAGAACTCTCCCAGTTCGAATTGACCATTCGTTTTCGAAAGCCTCACGCTCTGCTGCTATTCGATCCGCATTTTTCACTCTCATCGACCGCAAGTACACGTCGAGAGCTTCCTCGTATTCGAGAAGAGAAGACGACGGCTGGATCACTTTTTCCACAGTTTTAAGCTTGCCATCGTGTCGTGATGACGTCCAACACACGTAGGACACTGCTCTCCTAATTGCTTGCTGAAGACCTGGTAGAATGAGCCGTACGAGAAGAATCAACTTCACTCCAATCGCCCACGACAGATACGAATTCGCAAAGTCAAATGTCACCATCAGCAGCGCTACAAGCTCGTGCTGACAGAAAATATTAAACTCTGTAGGGTCTTGACTGGACGTCATTCCCACACACACGTGAGAGATCCAGCGCTCAATTGCTGGACACTTCTGCGCTGACGCCTTCACGAAGAGATGTCGAAGATCTTGGGTCTGCGTGTGATCGGTGTCAGGTCCAATTAGTCCGGCAGCCATTTTGATGAACTCTGCGAGCATGAAGACTTCGGAACCAAGGGCAATAACAAGCAGTACACCTGCGACTTGTTGTCTCCATCCACAGCCAATAAAGAGTGCTGCAAGCATCGCCGAGATGCCTGACAGCAGACACACCACCATTACCCACGTGAAGAGCGTATGAAAGTCCGCAATAGAGCAAAAATGGAGAAGATTGGTACTCGCAATTGCATTTGAAGTGCCGAACAGCGCAGCGCCAAAGAGCAGCAACCGTGTAAGCGCCGTGGGTAAATCAAACGACACCGACGTATTCTTGTTGGACAACGAAAGTTTTCTTCTTCTCTTGGACTTTTTCTTGGAAGCAACAGGATCGTGTATAGCCAGAAACACCCCCGTTAAAAGGACCTGCAACGAGACCATCGCTAGCTCTCCAATTATCACTGCCTCAACAACCGCATCAAACTGCAAACAACTTGTCAGCGTTGCGTCGACACACGCTTGTTCGCTGTCACTCCAGAGTGGAGAAAAGAATTCGCGTTGGTCAATAGTGACGGATCCATAACCGAGCTTCGTCGTTGATGAATCGGAGCAATGTTCACTCAGCCACTGGAGAAAAACACTGGGAGCGTCGAACACAAATCGCTGTGCAAGTGACGGTACTGCACCTCCATTGAGAATCAAATCGATCGTTTCCTGTGTAAGAGAATCTTCACTCTGAGCCAGCGCTTCCCGTAATTTATCGTGACTTCTTCGAGTGATAATGTTCTCGTCCAGGAGCAAGGCCAGAGCCATAAGAAATGCAATATCCACAACAAACAGCGCAAGTGCACCATTCATAGTGCCTCTGTACGCTGCCACCCAGCCCCCAATATCCTTCAGGACCAACAGCGCCACAGACACTAAAACTGCGGTTACCAGCTGCTGTGGCACTCGTTCGTGCCCATCGTAGTTCCAGTAGAGTATATAGCCCAATATTGTAGCCAAGAGCAGCAATACTATTGAGAGCACGCAAAGTCTGCGTAAAACCCTCGCTACATGGGAACTCGCTGCCGGTTGCTGATCTTCTTTCTCTATTCGTTCCGCCTCCACTGCTGCTGCATGTGCTGCATTTGTCGTCGCCACCTTGCGCAGATACTTTTCCTCCCTCTGCTCGATGGCCATCGTCATCTCCATCATCTCCTGGAGCTGTACACAGAGTATGGTTCAATATCGACACACGTCGCAGATCTCTTTTAATCGCGCTTACCTTGTCTTTCGCGATGCTATTGCCGCTGAGTGGGAACGCCATCACGTAGAAGTAGCGCCACGGCTTCCGGCCGGCCGAAGCTCCGTCCGCCGCCTTCATTGCTGCTCTGCAGGCGCCTCAATTGACGGTCATGCGCAACGCAGCTCTTCAAGATACCGCTGGATCCACTTTGATGTGCTAAACACAATACCGGTCCACAAATAAAGATTTGCGGACTACGCGAATACCGCAAATTATATTTGGGATATTTTAGAAAATGTTAGGACAATTTTTGAACTTAGAAATTCCATTGCAATAGAAAGCAGCTTCCTAGGTAAGTAGTTAGCACTGACAACGAGAAGAGAAACGAAGCCGATGGAGGCGTATAGCACAGGACGTGCTTGGAGTATACTCTCCGCCGGGCGAAGTGAGGCGGAAAGTAAACATGGGTCAGAAAAAGAATTTAGTTTATATATCCGTTTGAATGTATCAATACAAATTGGAGCGGAAACGGCGAAGCGAGGCGGTCACACTCCTGCTGAGCAAAAACTATCAAAGAGCCCCGCTTGCGGGGCTCCGCTCGGCTTGTTTCGTCAATATAATATCAATGTTATTGAAATTATATATTTATATCCATGCCCTGCGCCGAGGCCGTACACACTTTTTAGCACCACTAATGGCAGAGGAGTTCTGTTTGACGCTGATGCAACGGGCGTAATAACTGGAAACCGAGGTGTTTAATAATACTCACTAACTTCGCCACGTTCCCCTTCATTTTATCTCGCTCCTAATTTGGATGAGAGGAAACGGCTTTTAGTGAATTGATATCATCGCACACAAGTTTACCCACTTCAACGAACCTGCGAGCGATGAGCGACAGCGAGGAGGACTCGTCCAGTATCAGCAAACAAAAGTCCATTTTCAGCGGAATGGGCAGGTACGAGACGATTGATTCTCGCTTGGCAGTGCGCACAAACTTACTGTACCTTCTAAAAATTGCTGCAGGGTGAAGCAGATCAATCATCTCCGTGAAAAGTGGAGTCCCAAGCCCAAGTCTCCGCTGCCTGATCGATCTTTCACCGACACTCCACCGTCATCTCCATGGAGTCGACGTCCTAGTCCGGTCAAATATCCCTCAGAAGCACCAAGCGAGAATGGTCGACATACATTTCGTCGATCGCAGTCTGTGAGTGGATCACCAACACGGCAACCTGCAGTCACAATCGTGGACATGGAACGATATCTCGGCATCAACACGTGGCTTGAACGTAACGGCATCAACGTTGCACAAGTCGACACTTCAAGAGCAACTACACCTGAAAAATCAAAGAACTACGGGCTCTTTGACGATATGTACAGCTCACTGGAAGTACTCGAGGCCTCTCTAAAGACAGATCTTTCCCGCCTTGGACTTGACAAAAGCGCCAACCAGGTACGACGGGCTGACAGAAGCTTTAACCATCTCTTGGTGTCTGTGTCTAATGCGCTTAGGTTGTGCTGCAGAATTCTGGTGGTCAATGCAAGGAAGTTGCAACGCTTTCTTCTCCTGCTCTCTTTGATTATTTAACTGTGATAGGCGCTGATCTGCTCGATGTCAAGATTTGCAATTACTGGAGCCAACGAGAAAATGTGTTTGAACCGACTGTCGCGTTCGCGTACCCACCAGAGAGTCAATTCAACGCAGAGAGTCTTGAGCATTTTTGTTTTCCGGCCGGAATTCAGACTACCACCTCGATTACCAGTAACGAGAAGCCCAGCGAAACGTCAGAAAGCTTCAAGGAAGGCGAATTCTTCGTTCTTATGATATCGGGCGGAGGTACACAGGGCCAAAGTATTCAGTTTGCCATGTGCATGAAGGGGCTTGTCACGATTCCCAGTAGTACTGACGACGGCAAATATCGACTGCTGCCGATTTGCTATTGCGCCATCGTACAGATTCCATTTATCTCTTTCTTTCGAGCCCTGCTACAGGGATTACTGGGCAAGTGTTTACGCTCTAAGAAGCAAAGTGCTCAATTCTCCAACTAACATTCGTTTGTGCACAACAGATAATCTCCGGAATGAACTCGGATCAAGTGGAGACACAGACAGTAGTAGCACTTTGAGTAGCATTGTGACGGACAAGGTGCGTCCTGCTTGCATTTCTACTTTCTTGCTACGTTAAAGGACCGAGTTCGCTAACACCCTTGCAGCATGCAGGATTGATTGACGACATTTTGCGGCGTCTTCAGAAGATTTCTCTTCCTGACAAGGGATTTTCCATGTCTGTGAAAGTTTTTCCGTCTCCACGCTCAGAATTGATACTCGCACGGCCACACAAAGAAAACGCTTTGGACGAGAAGGTTGCGCTTCTGTTGCAGTGGGCTCTCCCGTTGCTGCTGTCGCGCCTGTCAATTGACCGTCTTCTTCAGATTTTGAGTCTTTTGCTTCTCGAGACAAAGTTAATTGTCGTCTCTGACGAGATCCCGCTCTTGTCTTCGTCTACGTTGGGATTGGCGTCTCTGTTGCACCCTCTCGTCTGGGCTGGGCCATTGATTAGTGTTCTACCGCCATCGATGCACGAGTATATGGAGGTGAGTGTCCAATGGGCTCTACTAGTGATTCTGTCACTAACCACGTCTACTTTAGGCTCCAGTTCCTTTAATTTGTGGTGTTGACGAACTTCCTCGCGATTTTGAGTGCTCTAAAGGCACTTGCATCCTCTATCTAGCGGACAATCGCATGCAGCTTCATAGCGATGATGAAGTTGCGTTTAGGAGCATTCTTATGCCTGAATCGGAGAATCTCTCGTGTGATCTCACAAGATTCATCAAACAAACGCTGGGACAAGAGACGGGTGCATTACGAGACAGCGTGACGCCTCTATCGACTCATCTTGTGATACATCGAGTTCGTAAACATATTGAGCGTCTGATTAGTAGTTGTACACGCACGAGAGACCACGCACTCGACGCCAGTGAGATGCGATTCGTTGATCAGCTCATGCAAACCCAAATGTACCAGAAGTACCGAGACGATCAACCTGCTACGCCTTCTGTCGAGCAATGCAAGCACCAGGTGCCAACGCTTCAGCCTGCACAGGATGAAGCTTCAAAAAAGGAATCTTTACTCAGCAACACTCAACACGATGGATTGAAGTCAGCAGCCTGTATGCTGTTCCAAATCGCACTGGCAGGAGTCAGTGTACAACCACAAAGCAGCCCTCAAATGAACGAAATACCAGATAGTATTGTGGACGAAGAAACCGAGACTCTTACCGTCGTCGACATGGTAGCGCCACCAGCCGAGGATGAGCCGGAACCAAGATCAGTGACACTCTCATCTCCAGCTCTCACCCCGTCAGGTAATTTAATCGATTTAAAGTGGAATCGTATTTATTCTAACGAATTCGTGTCTAGCTAGAATTTCCTCCAGCATGAAACTTTCGCCTAATGATAAAGTGGAATCACCGTCCAGAGGTTACGAGTTGTTATCGCCCATAGTAAGTGAGGCATCGAACCATACGGAACGAAGACCGGGTCGACCATTTGCTTGGCCCCTTAGCCATTCCGAGCTGAGTATTTTCTGGAGGTCCGATGAAACGAGTGCGGCAAGTCCTGGAAGGGCTCAATGTGTTGCATTGCACTCTCCCAGGAGCCAGTCGTTTGGATCTCCTTGCCGCAGTCCAAACAACACTAGCGATGTCGCCTACAGTGAAGAACCGAAATGTGTCGGTCGCAGTGAACTTGGAAGTGTAGTCAAAGCCCAAAGAGCGGACACGGAGACTACAATCTCGATATTTGACACTGCTTTAAGTGACGCTCTGAGAAGTGCCGATGATTCGTGGCTCTTTGAGCCTCCAGACGATCCCAGATCAAACTTGCAGCATAACTATGACAGCGATGACGACCGCTCTACCACGCACGAAAGCTCAGCGGAAGATGATACTGTTTCAGTACACGAAGAAGACCTGATTCAAGAAATGGGGAGTCAACACAACGGTCCCTTTGTCGCATCTCGGCGGTCTCGACACGGCAGTTTTTATGATATCGATCTCAATGAGGACCTCGGACTTACAAACTCGATCTTGACAGCTGATCGGGTAAAGGTGCTGATGACAGGAATTAGCGTTCACTCGGTCAGTGCTCCTCTCTAGCTGTTCGTAAGTGCAACTTCGCTAACGTTTATCTCGTTGTGTTTCAATAGCGGGGTGCGTGGGAAGGCTGGTGTGAAGGCCAAATGTTCGTTTCTCCGACTCTCACGACCCTCACCTGGGAGCGGCATGCTGTAGCGTTTGCTGCTCTCAACATGCACCTCGCAGACATCACAAGCATTGCATTCGAAGACCAACCAACAGCTTCACCGAACGGATCAAGGCAACGTCGCGTCCAGTTCACTTTCAGCAATGAAGCGATCTACTTTCAGTTTCCATGTTCGCCTCAACACACCGGGTTTTTTGACATCTTAAAGCAAACCATTCAGCCAACACAGGACCTCTCAGCGGGGAGGCAGCATTCGTTTCCGCCGTTATCATCGCCTGGGCCTCAAATCCCGCAAACCAAAATCCTCAATGACCGCAGACTCGTATCGACAGACAGTCAAGATGAAACTCTCACTACTAATCTCACCCCAACGCCCAGTTTTCTAGCTCCAACGCTGTCGGAAATCGAATCGTTCAAACGAAAACTTCAGCGGGGATATCTAGTTGAAAAGGTGAGGTCGACGGCTATTGCAGTTTTCACCTTAGCGTTCCTTGATCTCACGTTTCGGTTCTGTTTCCCTTTGCTAGCATGGTCGCTTGGGAAGACCTCACGCTAAACTTCTCTTCAGCGACGCATTGTGTTCCCACATCATGTGGAGAAAGCCTCCAGCCTCGAATATGACTGATCAGGACAAACTGGACCCAATTGACGAGCGGGCGCATCGTCGATCAACTTTGTTCTCTCAAGATAAAGGCATTCCCGTCGACAGCATTACCGCCATCGTAACGGGGAAGCAGACGTCGGTGTTTCGACGAGCCACTGCGAACAAATCGAGCGAGCGAGTGTGCTTGTCGATTCTCACTCCAACTCGAACACTGGACGTTTGTGCCTATTCACTGCAAGGATTCCAAGAACTCTATCGCGGATTCTCGTTGCTACTAGAAGAAATCAAACGAACACGAGACGGCTTAGACTGATCACCCATGCGTTATCCAGTTACCTTACTGTTAATTATCCCGCAGAAAAAGTGTGAGCTCGTTCCGCAAGGCAGCGATTTGCGTAAAGATCCGAGGTTCCTCTTCTGTTGATCCTCTAGTAGAGGAGACTGGAAACCTCGAGGATGTCTCGATAGCTTGTGACATGATGGAGGAGTCGAGTAGTTGCTTGTTGTTCCGAGCCGACGTCAAACTGAGAAAGGCCTCGAACTGCTCTAGCACCCCAAACTCCAGCAAACCCGATACCATCTTGGTGGGTTTAGAGCCACTCTCTCCACGGTCCTACAGCAACAAAATGAACAAAATTAGTAAAAACAAACTTCGATCCTAAATTTCCCGTCAACATTTGCAACGTACCAGAAGCGATTGCGGATAGAGTGCACCGGAAAAAGACTTGCGATACTTTTGAACTCGAGCGGACATTTTGGTCTTGATTTCGTCCAGGGACAGCTCGACGTCTGCATCCACTGCAACGAGGTGACTTTCTGTCTCTTTCTTGAGTTCATAGAGCAAATAGTAGCTAAAGTATCACAGTGAACATAAACCTGTCAGCAACACGAGTCCGTTGAAAGTACTCATCATACAGGACGTACCTGAAAGGGGAGGCGCGTTCGAAGAAATCGTCACGTCCAGCTTGCTCGAGCCGCTTGAAAGCTACGACACCCCCCCGAAGTGAATCCACTACTTGTTGAAAAGCATCGCGCTCTAAAGGGAGCACTTTTTCTTCCACAAAGGAGCGAGGATCGTCGATCTCAAACGGAGAAGTGCACAGCTCTGGAAAGTGGTCACAGAGAACGGCGATTGCTGTCACCAGGTCTTTCTTCTCTGCAGTCTCATCGATCGAATCTGTCAAAGTCGGAGCTCTAGCGTCACGCCAGAAATCGGCGAAGCTCCTTCGGATCTGCGCTGCATGGTTAGCGAAATCGAGCACGCGAACACGAGGCTTGTGCTTGTGCCGACGATTAAGACGACTGAGTAGCTGCACGGTGTGTGCACTGGAGCGTAAGTAGCGGTCGACGTACATGCACGCGAGCAAAGGCTCGTTGTAACCCGTGTCGAGTTTATCGCAGACTATAACGATGTCGCTAATAGCGAGTGTGACGCTGCGGGTGTTTAGCGTCTGTTCTGTCACAGGCTTCGCGTTGTTTCCCGCTCCAGCTAAAGCCACCGAGCCACTGAAAGCAGCGTAGCAATTCCACCCAAGCTTCTTCTTTGCAACGAACGTAGCGATCAACTTGTAGTAGCGCACGACATCCTGTCGACTCCGCACCACAATCATACATTTCACCTTCGGGTGTTCTCGTTTCATTGTCTGAAAATCCGTCATCATAACCAGCGCCTTGGCCTTCAGAACAGCAACATCATCACTTGCGTGGTCGAGGACACGACGTCGAGCCCCACGATTCGTTCGTAGCAATTCTTGAACTGGCTTGGGGAACACTGAAGTTTCCACCTTGCAGTGCACACAGGTGTAGTCCTCTAGGATGTTCATAATTCGACCGTCCGCGGTGGCCTGAGCGATCGGATAGCAGTGGAATGGATGCCGAAACCCGTCATCGGTTTCAGACCCAAACAGCTCAAGAGCGTCGGTATTCGGTGTCGCCGTAAAGCCAATGAACTGCACGGTTAAAGCAAAAGATAACGAAAGATTTAGCCCAAATCACGCTAGCACGCAACAGGCCACAATTATAGCCACCAATCCTCACCGTGAGTCGAGCTCTACTGCCCTCTCCAGCCTTCACGACCTTCTCGATAGCATCTCGTGTAGACGACGTGTGTGACCGATGCGCTTCATCCGTGATGATTGCCACTCGCTGGAATGGATCATCCTTCTCAACTTCCTCTGTTGCCACTGTACCTGGCTTGGTATTCGAGCTACGATGAAGTAATCTCGTCAGCAGCACGTCGTCTTTTACCAACAGCCCCATCTTGTGAGTTGTAGTGATGATCACTCGCTGTGGACTCTCTTGCTGCGTGGAATCCAGTAGTTTGGCCAGGTGCTCGATACTCTCAGCTCGAAAGACCTCGTCCACTCCGTTGCGACGCAGAAACGTCTCCACTGCGTCTCCCACCTGCTCGTTTAGCTTGACTCGGTCCAGCATGACCACGATCGTGTGGAACCTCAAGGAGCGAGTGTCCTTCACGGACAGCAGCTGGTGTGTGAGCGCTGCAATTGTCAGAGTCTTACCTGCACCAGTGCTGTGTTGTAATAAGAATCTCTCTGTCTCTGTGGACACTTCGTCTTCTTTAATTGTCCTCCTCTGAATGGCTGTAATGATATTCTCCACCGCTGCCAATTGATGCGGCCACGGAGTAAACAACACTGCTTTCTTCGTCCCGCGGGTTAAGGAGCTGCCCCCGACGCGCATCGAAGTAGCGATTAGAGTATGCAGGACACTGTTCTTGTGCTCGACAACTGTATTTGCATCAGGTTGGTCGAGTTTCTGGCGCTTGTGGAGGCGATCAGTGTCGCCTGGTTGGTCAAACATTGTTGCACTTGTTGCTGCGTTGGCAGCTGCGACGTCTTCAGGCGTGGGGCGGGACCATTGCGTCTTTTTGGTGAGCGTGTGATAGTAGTAGACTTTGCTCTTGGAGCGGGACACGCGCACAAGCCACTCGGCCGGCAGCGGCTCTAAGCTTAGTGTCATTTGCGGTACCAATATTATAATTCAATTTGGTAAGTTGATGTGCAGCACACTTCAACTATAATTTAGGTGGTGCACATGGTTAATCACCATTCGAGGTTTTACACCTGTTTTCACTATTCCGCGTGATTACGGAAGAGGCCGGCTGCTCAGACAAGTTTCCCCCGAGTGTCCACGTACCAACTCAAGATGCAGTTCCGCGCCGCATTGCTGGCGCTCGCGGCCTTCGCCTTCGCAGCGCAGTGTGCGCAGGCCGAGCCCGTGAAGTTGACCGAGGCCACGTTCGACCACCAGACGACTAAAGGCGTGTGGTTTGTCAAATTCTACGCGCCATGGTGTGGCCATTGTCAGAAGTTGGCACCGACCATCGACGACCTGTCCGACGCCGCTAAGGATATTAACGTGGCCAAAGTTGACTGCACCAAGGAGCGCAGCGTCTGCGAGCGCTTCAGTGTGGCCTCGTACCCGACGCTGAAGGTTGTGGCTGGCGGCAAGTCGTATGACTACAATGGCCGTCGCGACGTGGACTCCATGCACGCGTACGCTAGTGAGGGCTACAAGAAGGACTTTGGTGAGCGCATTCCGTCCTACGCTGAGTTTGTGGAGCAGCGCAAGGCCGCAGCCGCCGAGCACGAGGAGAACGAGCGCAAGAGCGCCGTCGTGCACCTCACCACAACCTCCTTTGAGGAGCAGGTGCTGACTGGCAAGGATCCGTGGCTCATCAAGTTCTACGCCCCGTGGTGTGGCCACTGCAAGCGTCTTGCACCCACGTGGAACAAGCTCAGTCGCACACTAAAGGAGAACGGCAGCAATGTCCGTGTGGCCAAGGTGGACTGCACTGTGCATCGCCGTGTATGCTCGCGCTTCGGCGTCAACGGCTACCCGTCGCTGTTCTACGTTAACGATGGACAGGTATACAGGTACAAGGGCGGTCGCTCGCTCCCCGCGTTCCTCGATTTCGTGGAGAGCGGCTGGAAGAAGGCCGAGTCCACTGGACCGATCCCTGAGGAGGGTTTCTTTTCCAAGATCGTCGACATGACGATTGAATGGGCCACGGAGCACACTGTGCTGGCTGTTCTGGCAGGCATCTTGGTGATCGCCATCGTCGTGGCCATCTTGGTGGCTCTGCTGGATTACTGGCTTGGTGCTGACGACGTGGCGCAGTACAAGAAGGCTCTGGACGAGAAGGAAGCGGAGCAGAAGGAAGGCGAGGAACTCCCGCCTAAGGTGCCGTCTGCGTCGGAGGCCAAGAAGTCCGGTCAGAAGCCCAAGGACGAGTAATTGACCTCTTTAGGGTCATGCTGCTTGAAGTGCTGATCGATAGAAAGAAGGAGAAAAATGAATATGCCGCCTCACAGGCAGACTGCACGTAGCTTGTACGCTAGTTAGGACCTCATCAAGGATCGACAATGAGCATGTACAGCTTTACGCATTTTCATCGTCATCTTTACGTTCCATGGGTGTCTTTAACGACGGACGTCCAGTACTCAATAACTTCTAAGAACCACATGGGCTCACGTTGTAGTTTGGTGTCCAGCTTGACAACCTGATGAGCCACCAGTGTGCGCGTCGATACCGCAGTGTCTGTCTTGGTCTTCAGCATCGGACCGATGGCCATTATGTAGTCACCTGATGGAAGTATACAAGGAAGTCAGCGCACAGCTACTCGTTCTCTATTATCATTGCCACTAACCCAATTGCGGTCGAGCATCAACACCCGGAGGCGCATTCTTCAGGAAAACCTTGAGCTCCAGATGCAAGACACCTGTGCCGTCGTCCACGGTGCACTGTTTCTGATCTTTAGACGTTGCGACCACGATGCCCTGCATGAAGGAACAGACAGCATGATGAGGGAGGACGGGATCGCGAGGTAGAATTCGACATTTGGCTGGACCTGAACCCAGAGGCGCGAGCATTCAACGCCATTAATGGTGAGGGTGGAGCGGCTGGAAGACTGCAAGGCGGAGGAGATCTGCCCCGCGAAGGCTTTGGACGTGCTTCCACGTTTTGGAGTCGACATGGCTACACTTTTAATTACCTAGGCGAAAATGGCCAATGAAAAGCTCGAACGATGAAAACGTTGTGCAAGGATAAAATCATGCCACGGCGGCAACAGCAAGGCGTACAATTACGTTAATACTTATTCCTATTTCGAATGACATATAGCATGGCGAAATGAAAAAAAAACTAAAGTTCGATAGTGCAAAAAGAGAGGTCGTGGCTTTTATCGATCTCGAGTTGCACCTTAAATGAGCTTCTGCGTGACTGCGGCACCCTTAAGTCCTGCCTGCTCGATGGTCTGCGCCAAGTCTGTCGACACAGGGCGAGGTGGAAAACCTGCCAGCAGGGTGTACGGCTGTGCCCCCGCATCGTTCCTACAGCAATAACAGTAACAGCATCAGCATCTCACCTCAACCAAAACACCTTCAACTTCTCCACGTACAGCTGAATAATAGCGTGCAGATCACGAACAGTGTGGTCCAAGTTAAGCGTCTCCCTGAGTCTCTGACCATTGTGCAGACGGATCTGCAGCGTCGTCGAGGGCTTCTTGTCATCAATCACTGGTCGTTCTGCTGGCACTGCGTCGCCTTGAATCACTGCCTCAGCCGCATACGTGGTGGAACCCATACTCTGGCCCTCTCCACTGAACGCTGTGTAGGCTGGTGGCGGGGGTGCCACGTAATCTTCCTGTCGCTTGTCCACAAGACTGATTTCCACCGGTTCGTGGCGGTTCTCGCCTTCAAGCTCCTGTGGCACGTGGCCGCTCTCCAGGGCCTCGAGGAACGGGCGGTTGGCCGGGTCCGAGCGAGCACGGTACGGACCATCATTGACCGTAAATCCTTCCCTGTAGAACGTGATCACATGGCGCGGCTGCGTTGACTCGCCGGCTGCAGCAGCGGCACGTGCATCCTGCTGAGCCCGGCCAATTATGTTGGCCACGTGATCGTCGCCACCTCCAGGCCCAATGACCGACAGCCCGCTACCGCCGCCACGATCCGAGGCGCCACCTGCGTAGTATTGGTTGGGCTGGTCACCGTCCTCACGGTCGTCGTTGCGGTTGTTGAGGCTCGAAAGACCCACGATATTGACCATGTTGCTGCGGTCTATTGGGAAATGGGGATACTTCTCGAAAAACTATCTGTTTGGTTCAAAAGAATGACTATAATTTGATCAAGATTTACAAATAGTGACAGTAATGGTGATGTCATTACTTGGCTACACTTTTTTGCTAGGCGAGTGCTGTACGTTGATGAGCGACGTGCGACTTGAGCGAGTCGCTGGTGGCCGACACATCAGCTTCAGCCACGGAGAAGTCGGTGTTACGAGCCTTGGAGAAGCCAGCGTACATGCGTTCGAACTGCAGACGAGCGGCCTCGGACGTTGAAGGTTTGGCGTTCTCGAACGACGTCTGCACATGGGCCTTGGTGATGAGGCTGCAATACGTAAAAGCAAGAGTTGAGCTGATGTGGTCGACTGCAATATTGGATTGCCAGTAAAAAAACGTACTTGGATCCGTCGCCATTCAACTTCTCGTGCACAAGTTCCAGCTGCGCCGAATATATGATCTACGCATACGAGACAAGAGGATTAGCCGTCACATCTTCAAGCGAGAGCTTACCCCCAAAATACATACAGCTTGCAGGTCAGCACCCGAGAAATGGGCACTTTTCGAGGCTCTTGCGATTTCAGAGAGGTACTCGAGCGCTTCATGGGAGAGTTCCATGTCTTTCGAAACCGCACGAAGGATGTCCAAACGCTCTTCCTCGTTCGGAAAACCTGCAGAGAATCGATACACAATCAGTACTGGCGCGAACCTTCAACACAATCGCCGTTTACGCACCACAGTAAAGGGATTTGTCGAGACGTCCAGGTCGAAGGAGCGCTGGATCAATCATATCCGGTCGACTTGTAGCTGCCAGCACGTAGACTCCCTAAGATGTTCATCACGACATGATGAGGTCAAAAGACTCGACACTGTGTGACGTACACCAGCAGCTCTTTTTACCTTTCGAGCTTCAACGCCATCCAAGAATGTGAGCAATTGGTTCACTAAACGATCCGTGACTCCAGTATTATCGGCACCGCGACGGGGAGCAATCGAGTCGAACTCGTCCAGGAAAAGCACAGAAGGAGCAGCTGAGCCAGCACGCGCAAACAAGTCGCGAATGGCCTGTTCACTAGCGCCAATGTACTTGTTCAGAACTTCGGGACCTTTCACACTGATAAAATTTAAGCCACATTCGTGTGCCACAGCACTAGCCAGCAGAGTTTTGCCGCATCCAGGAGGCCCATAGAGCAGCATACCGGCCGGGAGCTTGATTGGTGTGTTGTCGTACAACTTCGCATAGCGAGTCGGAAGCTCCAGCGTGTCCTTGAGCACTGTTCGCACTTGCTGCAGTCCACCAACGTCGCTCCATTTGACCGAACTCTTGAAGAGATCCACACCGATCAAAGCAGTTGGCTGGAAATCTTCGATGCCTTCGACAAAGTCACTCTGCTGGACCTTGTGAGTCACCTCGGAACGCTTGCTAGGCTCAAGAAGGGCATTGCGCTTGAACATTTGATGCAGGGCTCGATCGGTAGCGCTTGATAAATCACGGAGACTGTAGCCCTCTGTCAAGGACGACAGAAGACCAAAATCGATGGCTGGATCAATGACAATCTGTCGCGAAACCTTCGCTCCTTTGCCCGTCGAGTTCGCGCTATCGACTTTCATCTGCAGCATCTCGCCGATCAACGTTTCGCGTCGCTCTGCATCCGGTGAAGTCACTTGGACGGGGCGATCAAAAAGCCCACACCCTCGCAAGGTCTTATGGATGCTCGTGTCGGAGCGAGCAGCTGCAACCACCGCCACACTCTTGCTCTGCATAGCATTGCCCACTGTCTCCAAGAGTTTCCTTCGTGCGAGTTGCTTTTGCCGGTCAGATAAACCCTTAATGGCTTCACATTCGCGCTTAAAAGATGCCTTCAACTCGGCTGTCGACTTCCACATGCGCTGACAATTTCGGTTCATTAGAACCAAAAGCAGCTCAGCGATACGTCGTGATTGCTCGTTTGCTGCACCTGCGGACTCGTCTTCTTGAGGCACCAACGCGTCCAGGTTATCCAAGACAATCAACGCAGGTGCATGGGCAGCAGCCTCTTCAAACAGCCTGTTCAGTTGAGTTTTCACCGAATCCATCTTGAGTCCACGTAAGTTCCGACACTCGATCGTTTTTGTCCAAGCTGAAAACTGCAACGAGGTCTGAGCCTCGTGCACTAACGCACGTAGAATTGTCGATTTCCCACTGCCTCGCTCGCCATGCAATAAGGCACAACCTGGGGGCTTTGTACCCAGCAGAACTCGCGCTGCTGAAGCATCTCGAGACAACACAGGCCGCACAGCTTTCATCAACGTTGAGTAGGTCTTCGCACTGCGCGATAACTCCAGGACTGACCGGTTCAACGCGCTAATAGACGACGCATAGTTCCGCGCTTTCGCTAGTACTTGCTGCGGTTGGCCTGATGCATTCTGCACAGTCACTTGGGCCATCGATAAAGCATGACCATGGCTCCCACCCAGCACAGTATAGTTTTCTAAAGCACCAACCGGAACGCCTGCAATGGAGCAAGTGAGGTATTGTTAGATCACACCAAAAATGCCAGTCATACCGTAAGACTCTTTACCTTCCAGTTGCTCGGCACTAAACGCTTCTTCAGCATCGTATTGGACGTCAGCAACTGCGTCAACAGCTTTTCCATTATCCAGTTTAAAACGAAGAACTGAGCCCGAGCTGACCACGTGACTGCAGTCAGGTGAGCTACTCCAGCGCCGAAATGCTTGCTGGATGCGACCAACCATGGTCAAATCATCACCGTTGGGGCCTTCAGAGTTGATGAGTAGTGTCACCGAGGATGGTGGGAGCTCTGGTAGCTTCAGAACGCGTAGTATAACTGATTCATGCGCAGCGGCATCCAAGCTGACGCTCGCGCCTCGGCTGAGAACGATGTGGTTCCGTACAACGTCATAGGAGGCTTTCAGTCTCGCCACATAGCATACAGAATCTTGCCTAACGTGACAAACAAGAACATGATTCGTATAGAGAGCCTTTCGACAGGGGTAAAATGGAGGAGACGTACCTTAAGGGCTCGCCCTCATTAGTTTCAGCCGTAACACCACTCGAAGCCTTCAAATCGGGGCTCCAGAGCGCAACAACCGGCGCTTCTTGCGCGTCTGAAGGGGCATCAGAGATCACTGCGCCATCCAGCATAGCTAGAGATTCGGGATGAACCCACACTTCATCGCCTTTTTCATTTTGGAGAGTGCCTACATAATCCTGTTGAAAGTGCACGTTAGTACAGCATAAAGAAGGGCACTACTTCAACTCGATTTCATCAAAACCTGGACAATAAAAGGTGGGGACTGCTCGTAGTACAAATCTGGGCTCAATGCGTGTTCTGCCGTTTCCACTTGGCGTTCTTTTGGTGCCACGATAACCTCCGAAGCTGGAGTCAATCGAGCATGCTCCCTGTCAAACACGATGGCATCACATGCCATTTAGTTGTCAGCTGAACGAAGCAAGCCTAGCCATGTGTCGCTCACATCCCAGCCGGAAGAGAAGCGCGAATGCGAATGAGTGTGTTCTGGTTGATCCATATAGGACTCACTTGCTTGTCATTGACCACACACATCTGCAATTCAGACAAAATCAATCTGTACCGTCACCAACTATAATATCGCAATTGAATACACGAAATGCAGCTCAATGATTGGTACCTGTCGCAGCAGTTCCGTCTCGATAGCCCCTGCATGCAATTGAATCAACTCCCAGTCATCCGCCGTGCATGGCTCAACATTAACCTGCCGTGCGATGGACAGCGCCTCCACCACGTGCACCCCAATAAAAGCTTGTGGCATCTTCTCCAAATGATCTTGCTGTACACAAAACCCCAGTGAGCCCTTCATGATTCACCTCTTGTGTCTTCAAGAGCCAACTTACAATGCCTACACAACGCGCCAACTCGGCTGGTATTTCAACGATGTCACTGCAGAGCACGAATTCTCGGTTAGGACACTCTGTAAGAGCTTGCAGTCCTCCATTATCTCAACCTGCGGAGCGCTCCGTCCTTAGCAATACCGCCGATCCATCCAACACACACGCGCTGCACGTATCCGTCAAGTGTTTCCCACGACAGCTCCAGAATCGTGGACCCAGCATTCATCTGAAAGTTACAAGTTAGCTTAATACGCAGCAGAATCTGCCGAATATTTAAGCGCGACGCACCAGCTCCGGTCCTCCCAAGAAGGCCTGCACAAACGCAGGCGGAAGATTAACGAAGCAGCTGCTCACAGGCACCAGAACCGGCGCCAGGAACGCCCCGCGCGCCGCCATGTTCCTCGTACGCGGTTATGCGTCAACGCACTTTGACACCGCTAGCAGGTTTGACAGGTAAATGTCGTACTTAACATAGATGACACAAGTTGAAGTGCACGAGTCCGTTTCAAGTCTATTCTTCATGCATTCATGATCACCAGAATCGAGCAATAATTGCCGATCTAGACAGCCAATTTTCAGATGCAGAGCGACGGAATCAGGAAGGCGTCGTTCCGCAGTGAGTGGACAAGTTCGCTGTCCAAGCGGGCTGGGACATTGCGTGCTAAGCGCTGGCTGGAGTCCTTACGCAAAGAGTGTAGACTCACACTGTTGCTTGTGATGCTCGGAGTTTCCGGTAAGCCATCGAAAGTTTGTCCTTGCTTTCGAGGTTTCAGTAACCAGGGTCTTTCTTCCTGGCAGCCTCTCTTGTGGACGACATCATCGACTTGGTCGTGCTGGGATTAAATCGGACTCGACAGGAATTCCTAAAAGTCACAACCAAGGGCGAGCCTCCATACATTGAACTTGCTGCTTGGAGCGCATTTACCATTGCCGTGGCAACCGCAAGTGTAACGTGGACGGACGTATTTGACCCGATGGCTGCAGGCTCCGGGATTCCTGAAATGAAAAGTATCATTTCGTACGATCATCGCGAGGATGCCGGCGAATATCTCCGCGCTCGCACACTCGTGTCCAAAATTGGTGGACTGGCACTTGCTCTCAGCAGTGGTCTCTCTCTCGGCAAGGAAGGGCCGTTTGTTCACACGTCATCCATCATTGCTCATCGACTCATGAAGCACTTGAAATGGTTTCATCGAATCTACGAAAGCGACATCATGAGGCGGCACGTCTACAACGCAGCCTGTGCGGTAGGCGTGACCTGCACTTTCCGAGCTCCAATCGGCGGCGCGTTGTTTGCTATTGAAGTAACGAGCACAGTCTTCATGGTTTCGGTAGGTCAAACTTAATGTTCAGGCACTGACTCTAACGTTGGCAGAACTACTGGCGCGCCTTCGTGGTATCAACCAGTGCTCTGCTAGCACGACAGACTGTCTACATGGTTCACCAAGACTGGGTCGCAGCTTATCACCCGATGTTCCCCACGACTTTTGAAATTGAATCATTCACCTTGGTCGAGATCGTAGCATTCGCGGCCTTGGCTGTTCTCACTGGTCTTCTCGGTGCCATGTACGCCTCCGTGTCGACAACCTTTAGGCAGCACTGGAGAGCATGGGCAACAAAGAAACCCGTCGTAGTGACCTCCTGGGCGTTGCTCCTTCCACTTGCTGCAATCCTCTGCACGCCCGTAAGTTTGGGCCGGTTGTCATTCAGCGAAACCTTAACCGACTTGATTTGTGCTAAGCCGAAGCTTCCAGATCGTTGGCATGCAGACTTATCCCTGTCGGTGTATATGGTTCTTCCGCTGTCTGGTTTGATCCGTCTGACCGTGACGACGATATCCACGACACTACCAATCCCTGCCGGTGATTTCGTTCCAACATTTATTGCAGGCGCCACTTTCGGCCGCCTGTTCGGCGAAGTTCTACAGTTAGTTTTCCCGTCAGCTGAAATCGTGGCCGGGGGATACGCTCTAGCAGGTGGAGCTGGCTTTGTCGCCTCGACAACAAACACGACGTCGGTTGCGGTGATCGCGATGGAGTTCACTGGGCAGTTCGTCTACTCGATCCCACTCATGCTCTCGGTCATTGTCGCTTCTGGAGTCGGCTGCGCGCTGCGGGTGTCCGTTTACGACAGCGTCATCGCAAAGAAGGGATTCACCTATCTATACACTCTCGATCTCGAGGGCTTGAAGGCGCGCGACGTCATGCTGCGGCGGTTCCCAATTCTCTCGCCTGACATGGATGTCACACAACTAGGACAAGTTCTCAGTATGGCAACGTCGACTCCAATGCTGCCGGTTGTCGAGAGTCTGAACAGTATGATGTTTATTGGCTGTGTGCCGCGCTGTGAGCTCGAGAACGTCATCCACTTCGCCATGGAGAACGAAAATCAGTATTTCTTTCATTTTCGCTCTGTACTAAAGTTGCCGAAGCTAGTCGACATCGCGATTCCATCCGTAACTGGACCAACCGCAGCAAAAGACGACGCAGAGTCTAGATTAGCAGAGTGCACGGCAGATGAACCAGAAGCCACGACAAAACTTGTTAGAAGTGCTGTTGAAGTTGTGTTCGACGCCCCAATCGCACGGAAATTTGTCCAAGAAACTCCACTTCAGCAGGCACAACCGCCGCTTGAAATTGACTCGACTGCGCTTCAAGTGGATCCTGACAAGCCCCTAGAAAAAGTTCACCTGCTGTTCGAGATGATCAAGTGCTCAAGCATATGGGTCACTCGGCAAGGTCGTCTCGTGGGGCTGCTGCACCGACAAAACCTGCATATCCGGGTTGCTGAACTCAAGCTTAAGGGCGCACGCTATCCGGCTTGCTCTGGTCACTAAAACTGCCGAAAACAACACACGAACGCACAACTTCCCACATTTGCACGGCAAAACAAACACGCACGCACCAATACGCGAACGCATGCGCCTGGTCCAGCAGTTTTTTTATATATTTGTTTTGACGCTGCTGGCAACTTTGTTGCTTGATCGCCCATCCAAAAACCGATAATGTAACACGTCCATCAATTCCCTAGAGCTGCATCTCTATGGAGACGCAGCAACAAAGAAGTCACAAGAACAACACAATATGAGCATAATGGTTTAGATATGTACTCAGCCCCAAAAGCATGAGTATTGTACAAATACAGTAGCCACGAAGGCAAGCAGCTTCCTGCTGGCTGCTTTGCTGCTACACAGCTAGCCGGGATTGAGCTGCAGCCAGGAAGCTGCTAGCCCGCTCGCTAGGCATCAAAAGGACGCGTCAAAGGGATGGCTAACCTGTAGTGTTGTGGTGTCGTCCGCTCTTCTTAGAGTAAGGGTAGCCCAGAATGCTCAGGGACTCGCGGCTGTAGCCACCGCTCTCGCGCATAGAGCCGAGACTGTGCTGCGACGCAGACAGGTCAACGTTCTGCTGCGCGGCGGGGACTGAAGCGTAGCTGTCGCATACTGAATCCGTCAGGGTTCCAGTCTCCGTCGACGCGCTTGGTCGACTGAACGAGTAGTTATCCGGCGCGTTCGACCGGCCAGACTGCAGGCCTGTGCTGTTCGATAGAATCGACTGGTTTGTCTGACGAGGCGCCGACGCGTAGCTGTCTGCGTCCGAGAGCATCGATTCGTTGTTGTAGCGTCCAGACTCACGACCCGACGCGCGCATCGAGTTCTGCTTGGCGCTCGGACGACGTAGACTCGTGGCACGGACGTTGCTCTGCGGAGACGTCACCGTCATAGCATAGGGATCCGCAGCGCTGTATGGCGTGTACGAAGCTTGCGAGCCATAGCGACGAGAGTTATCCGTCGATGTAGCACGAGCCTCTGACTCGCGCATGTCGTCAATATCGAAGCTTGAACGGTCTTCCTCAACGTCATCGTACTGCGTGCTCGAAGCCTGACGCGGCACAACAGGGGCAGACAGTGTGGAGACAGCCTTGGCGTTCGGTACGGTCGAGCGACGAGGACTGGTAGCCTTGCCGTTGCTGTAGGCGTACGTGGGGGCCACATAGACAGGTTCTGATGACGGAGAAGGCTCGACCGAGGAGTTGTGCGAGTAAGGAGCAGACACGTCCGACGAGTGGTCAGATGACGCAGACGATGGCGCCGAGTCCACCGCGACGGACGCAGCAATTACAGAGGCAGGGACGGCGGATGCAGGGGTCTCGAAACGAGTGGCGGGGGTTTCATGCACGCTCATATCGCTCAGACGTGAGCTAGGAGCCTTAGAGCTGGCAGCAGGCGAGAACGACTCGGCATAGTCCACTGTAGGTGACGCGGGGAGATGATGGTTGTCACCGTCATCATCGTGGAAGGTTTTGGCACCCGCAGCGGCGGCCGTGGGCTTGGCTGCAGGAGACAGGTACTGGTTCTCCACGTCGTTTTCGGGGTCTTCCAGATCCTTCGACGCACGGTTGCGACGACGGATGAGAATAACGGAACCAACAATGATCAACAACGCACCTACAGCCCCGCAGACTCCGCCGATGATGGCAGCGGAGGATGAACTCGACGAGGCGATGGTGCTTCCGTCGACACCATTCTCCGTCGACGCCGAGTTAAATTGAACGCTGGACGTGGCACATGCAGAATTGCTAGAGAAAGCAAAGGTGCTGTTGAGCGTCTCGCCATCGTCGGAAGTGACCGAGAACTCAACGCTCTTGTACCACGTACTGGAGGAAGAACCCGAGTTGGCCGAGTACAGGAAGGTCGAGGATGTGCTGGTGGCCGATACGCCATCGATCGTCGCGCCCGTAATGACCTTCTGCGAGTTGTAAAACTGCAGTGGCACGTATGTGGCCGAGGCGCCGTCCATGAGGCAAGCTTTAATGTCGCCCGACATGAGTGACTCTGTGCACGTGCCAAACTTGTACGAAACCTTCGTGGCCGTGTCGGTCGTGTCGATATCCAGCGCCGTCATCGCATCGCCCGATAGCTGAACCGTTCCAGATTCGCAGCCATCGCATACATCCAACACATAAGCGGTGACGGTCTTGGTCGAGTCGTCGTCACGCGTGACAGTAATGCAGCGCGCACAGGCCTCGTTGAGCGAGTAGTCTTTGCTGGGCACGGACGCGTAGAGCTTGAAATTCTCCGAGGAGTCTGAAATGCCCTTGAGACGGCACGTGCCGTACATCGGGTCGCTGATGTTGTAGACGGACGCGGCGCCCGAAGCGGAAGCAGCGTCTGCTGCCAATGCCGCGGCAGCGATCACCATCCAGCCTCGCATGCTGCAGGAGTTGTGTGTGTGTCTGTGCTGTGTGTTCTGTTTGTGGGAGTGGATATACCGCTGTCACTCGAGGACACGCAGGTTAGGAGGGAGAAGCGCGCCAAGATTGGAAGGAACCAAGCTGCTACCAAAATACTGGATGAGGCTTGTCGGGCTCCAGGCACTTTCGGTTGTGAATCGCGCCTTCACGGTCTGAGCTGGCTCCTCACGTGCGGTTGGGGCTGAAGTGTGTTCGATTAAGTCACCGAAGCTGAAGAGAGGCGGCCAGGGATGGGGGTCGAATATTCATAAAGCAGCTGCTTTTGCTGCTGCCACCGGACGCGCTGATTGTGAAACTTCACGTTTCGTCCAGCGACGAAGCCTTCACCGAACATGATTCGGCATCGATGCCGATCTGGCATCGGATAAAACTTACTGCCAAGAAAACCTGAAGTGATGGCGATATTGAGCCTTACATGTATTACGAGACTGCGAGCGCTGTTTGGGTTCTGGGTGTGTGCTCAACATCGCGAACATTCCGGATCGCCTGTCATCGCGCCATCGTTCGTTGGCGTCGGTTTCAGTGAAACTTTCACAAGCCTTGAATGTGAAAGAAATCACTTCAAGCTACCGGCTCGTGCATTTTAATAACAAGGGTTACCGGTATATATATTCCTTTCTCTCCAGTTTTGGAGCTTAGTTTTATGGCCAAGCTCTCAGCTGTAGCGGTGGCTACTCTGACATATTCAGCTCGCACACGATCTCCCCTCGCTGTCAGAAATCAACTGGATACCGTTCTGTTGTAATTTTTGCTTGGGTGCTCATTGCCCTCTTGACGTGTCTTTCCAATACAAGTCTGTACTTTAGGTTCATCCATTAAACACATCGCGTTCGGTGGTGCTCTTCGAATCCATCGCATGGAGTTCAAGGTCGACATTATTAATACATGTAAGCTTTACATGTTGCGTTTTGTCCAAAGCCTCTGGGTCCAGGGCAGGGCGTCATCTCGCGCCACTTCGCCGAGCCGCAGATGATTCTCGTGCTCAGATGCCCTGGTAGAGGAAACTCCTCATGTGTGCAATGCCGCGTTACGAACTTCATGTTTGTGAAACGATTGAAACCGCATCACGTGCTGAAGTGGTGACAGCTCCTTACACAAACTGTGTGGACTGTGTGACACTGGGAGATGAGGTGTTTAGTCGCACTTAGTCGCTCATGGTCGTCGAACGGCCGTCCGGTTCAACGGTATCTTTGCCACCATTCGATGCTCATGATTGTAGCGAGGTCACTGCTGCCGTTGGAAGCAAACAGGAGAGGGGGGGCTACTTAGTAGTAATACATGTAGTGTATTGCATGAATCGGGCGTCGATACCAGTTAGCAGGTCAAGTCGAAGTTGCCTTCTGCCCTGATTATGGCCTCGATAAGTGATGCCCCGCCGCCTGTCTATGTTTGTTTGGTAAACTAAAGAACATGAACTCTACACAACATTAGTGTAAAATTGGTGTACCAAATCGTCACTTGACCAAAATGGCCCTTACGAAAGGTGACGGGCGCTGCTTAATACGTGTGGCAGGAGAATGGAGTGGCTGATTGTAGAGATGATAACAAAGTAGGATCTATCGAGAAGCTTCTGCGTGAGGTGGTTGGCGACGATATACCAATATCCAAAGAGACGGTCGACTGGGTCAACGAGTGCGCTGGCGGTAAGTGGTTCAATGTGTTTCTGACTTACTGATGGGACCTCATTGTCATTACAGAGCTTCTTCAGATAGTAGGGCAAGAGGCCAATATGATTGCAGAGAGTATTTCAACGAAGGAGAACTATCGCATCTCGCATGAACACGTTGTGACGGCGTTGGAGGTGATGGCGACAGGTTTGAATGATCGAACTAAAGGCTCTTTGTTAACATCGAACACGTGCTGATGCAGAACCTTGGGATGCAGCGATACGCACAAGAAATTAAGGAGCATCAGGGATTGATGGAGCTTGAAACGCAGGTAAGTTAGGCTCAGAAGTATAACAGCTTTGTCATTTTTGACAAACGCTGTTGTCGTTGCAGAAGAAGAGGGAGCGGATAGCGTCTCGGAAGGCAGCTGCGAAAACCGCCTCACGCGACGAGTTGCTGGCTGAACAGACGGCATTGTTCAAGCAAGCGTCATTGAAGGCTAGCAGAGAGGGGTGGTAAACAGCGGTAAGAATGATGAGGCTTCAACTTTGTGGGGAAGGAAACGTAAAATATGATAGCGATGGACCAGCGATATCATATTTTACGTTTCATTGACCATCATCTATGACCACCATCAGGTTGAAGTTATTGATGAAAACCCACGCATGAAAAAATACTGTCCTAACTTACAGCATCCATTTACGTTCTGCATATTTGACAAAGTTGAAAGCGCTCACTTGAATTCAGCAATTACGCCTCGATGGTCAGAAGCATATACCGGGCTGGACGCGTGCAGCATTCCGACATCATCCGGGAAGTCCTTAGTGTCTTTCGTGGGCTCTTGGCCAATGATCTCGCACTCCTTAACTCGTCCTTCGCCACGGTACAGCACAAAGTCGATACGCTTCGATGGGTTGTCGCTGGGGAAAGTGAACTTGTGCTGGCGGTCGTCCGGATCAGTAGAACGAGGCTTAGCTTCCTTATGCACCTCTAGCCAAGCGTCCTTCATGTCTGTTGTCTGGCCCAGGAGTTCTGCTTGTCCACTCAAAAAGCGTATGCCAAGAGACTGGGGTTCCGAGTTCAGGTCGCCAAGCAGCACCTGCGTCTTTCCCTTGCCTTGGCGCATGTACTCCCAAATCTCGACCTTCGTTTGCTCTCTTGACCGCTCGCTTAGCGACAGGTGTGTCACGTACACATCGATTTCGCCCCAGCGAGGATAGTCGACCACCGCATGAAGACACAGTCGCTGGTGTGAGTCGTTCGGGTCATTTGGATCGCGACTCAACAGCAAATAATCTGTCGCTACCACAGGGTACCTGGACAATATCGATGGGCCCTCTTCGATCCGTTCATGTGGCATTCTGGAGTTGATATAGCTCATTGCCGCTTGGTACACGTACTGGTAGCCCGGAAGACGATCAGCTAGGTGCTTGACCTGTGCGTGGTTGGCGGGGTCTCCAAACACACCGTCATAACGCACTTCCTGAAAGCCAATGATGTCGGCTTGAGCTTCCTTCACGAACTCCACAAGATGGTCCAGTCGCTTCGCGTACTGATCCCACCGACGCCCAGCGCCATACACGTCCGATGATGGGTTCGTATTCCAGACGTTGTACGACAAGATACGCGGTCCCGATGGAGCAGCAGAGCATTCGTCTTCACTGAGACCACATTCAACGGCTTCATTCGTCTCTTCGTCAGCTCCCTTCTCCAACGGTGAAAATGTGTGCTGGAACACATTGTGTTCTGCTTCACGATCCAGTGCAACGACAACCCGATGTATCAAATTGAACTTGGCGTCCTCCAGCGTCAAGTAGAAGTTGAAGCCAAACGTCACGTGGCTTACGAAGCGGTACATCCGACCGTCTGCTCCCGTGCTGTCCTGTAAGATGGACATCTCCGACTCCCCGTTATCTCCTGTCACCTTTAACGGAAACACCGTCGCCTGCACCAGTTTAATCTCAGGCGACACGTGGACGTTCGCGTGCGTCTTGATGGACCCTACAGCTGCCTGAAATGCTGCCTGGACGGCCAAGTCTGTGGTTACATCGGCCGGGAAGATCGGGTCGAGGAGAACGCTCCCGTATAGAAGCGCGTTCGTGCTGGGCTTGTCCTCTCGCAGCTGGAAAAGGTCTATGGGCTCAAAGCTTTGACGCTTCAAATGGATACCACCTGGCTCCGATGACAGGTATCTGCCCGTGAAGCGAGCACCCCCGGCAAGCGGCGACCAGAAATCCCATCGTGGCAGGTCGTCAAACGGGTGTTGGGCTTTCGCAAAGATGGCGAGGCCGGCGAGCAGGACGAGAAGCATAACACCGTTGCTCAGGGTTCCCAATGGGGCTTTTGTGGGTTGGGTTACCCCAAGGGTTACCCACCCGTCCCCCTTAGGCGCAAAATGTGGGTAATGGGTGGATTATTCAATAACCCATCCACCCGAGTGCGGGGAGCATTATCTTGTATGTGAAGTAGGAAAACTCAGCTCGTAACCCCGGTAAAAATTGGATTTTTTTTGTTATTACTAGCAATAACTACTCGTAGACAAAGTCTTCATTTTGGTTGTTCCTTTCGTCTTCTTCGTCTTCGTCAATCAGGCGCAGAATGTCATCCAGCTCCGTGTACACTTCAATATCTTCATCGCGAATGTTGCGAGCGTTGAAGTAGATGTGAACGAGTTTTTCAACTCGTTCTGGAGCGAGACGGTTGCGTAGCTTTGAATGGACAAATCCATGAGCGGAGAAGTTTCTCTCAGCCACCGAACTCCCAGCCGTACAGCGAAACACTCGTTTGGCAATGTCTTGAAGAATAGGAAACTGGTTTAGGGAGCACCAGAAGTCATACACGGCAAGCTTGCCGTTTTTCAGCAAGGTCCACGTTCGTTGGGTCTTCCCCTTCAGCTCCGCAGCAAAGCGATGGAACCGCACAAGCTCGATAACAACGGCATCAGCTGTGGCTTCACCTACTTCTTCATTATCACCGTGCCACTCCGTGATAAATTTTTTCACATTGGACCGCGTGTCCGGATCCATTTGCGCGCCACAAAATCGAGGGTCCAGTATGTGTGCAACTCCGTGTGCGTCGCCGTAAACAAAGTCGAACCGCTTGTTGATCAGCGCATGCATACTCTTCACGTCTTTTGCAGGAAGTCCGCACTTTGCCACGGAGTCAAGTAAGTCAAGGAACAGTTGGTAGACTTCAGAAACCGGTGTGCTTTTCTTTTCGAACCGCTTAAGCGGCTCCCCAACGATCTTGAGCAGTGCTGTAGCGCGCTTCAATTTGGGGAAGAAATCAGTAGATGTGATGGCGTTGAATACGAGGCGTCGCGTTTTGCGTTTTTTCTTCGATTTGGCCACTTAGAAGTTACGAGTGGAAACTGTCGCAAATAATACTTCTTCGGCCTTTAGAACGGAGTCTAAGCACGCCAACACCGACCCCATCTTGTATCACCAGGCAACGCCAGAACTCGAAGCCCCATCGACTTCAGCTTTCTGCGCAGTTGAAACCATAGTTTGTGATTCGTTTTTAAAAAGCTCACTATCACCTTGCATGTAGATTGCAACTCATTGAGCCACTTTAAGTGTGCCACCGTGTCCTTCACGAGCAGGTGCAAAGCGTGACAAGCACACCCATGAAAAAACACTTGGGGGAAGTCGGGCTGCAGTGTGGTGTAGTGATTTCTCCAGAGTTGCGGATCATCACCCTTCGACATAGACGCGGCACCGCCCAAGATGTTCAAGCGACGAACCCTCGGTCGGGTGATGTACGGAGACGCCAAGGTGCAAGGGACTCGACGGCGTCACAACCGAATACTCAGCGAATATTGGATCCGGTCCAAATGTAACTTAATCCAGGCTGTCCTTATTATTCATAATGGGCTAACCGGATTCGCATTCAGCGGCCAAGAACTGGCCATCTACGGTACGAAACCTCGGTGGCGGTTGGGATGAGTTCGCGGAATACTCAGCGACCTTTGGAAGACACGTTCACCGTCTGGGACAGGGCGCGGACCGCTAAAGATGCTCATGCGACGGTGCAGACGACGCTTGGCATGCAAGAAGATCCATAACGGATCATTGTTCACTTGATATTTGTATACTTGATTAGGACTTCTTATTAGGAATAGACCCGAAAGGGTAAGCTTAAATACAGAACAGAATTTCCACTCAAGCACACAGAGCGACGTCCGGCTTCAAGGTAAGCGTCAGGTCAAGCTTGTTTGAGTGTGTTATGCCTGTCGGTGAACTCGAAGCTCTGTAGCGAGGGTTCATCCGGCAAGGCCAAGAGACTTTGTGTATTGGCCGATTATTATCGGGAGGTTTTACGTGACGGCTTATTGTTGCCTATTTGCACGACTGGGAGTGCTTGAATTGCCTCCCTTTTATTTCTTCTAGCCGAGTGTTGAACACTCGGTGATCTCGTAAAAGGCTTACCCGTGCCTGGTACCCTTCCGCTGTTGGGACCACGAGGATTCAAAACACCTGCTAGCTTTGCTCGTGCTAGTAGCGTGTTCTTATTTTACTGGTTGGCCTATATAAATAGTTTACAAGGTCCAGTTTGTCCCGGTGCAAGAGCAGAACTGGGGTCTTCAGGTCCATCCGAACGATCGTTTACTATCCTAGTAGACGTATTGTTGTAGGAACATCCTAACTACATCTGTAGCTAGAGTTCACGTGGGATTTCCAACACCACAACTGGTGCCGCGACCCGGGAACAGATTGTGACCATTGTGAACTGTTTGTATGGCCTTCCAGGTTACGAGCTACCAAGAGAAGAAGAACAAGAAAAAGACAAGAAACATGGCGAAAGGACAACCGACGGTACCAGTTACGCCTGCCAAGTCTGGCGGGGCTCGCAACGAGAGTTCAAGCCCGGCTGCGCGCTTTGCAGCCGCCACCGAGCTTTCAGTGAGCTTCGACGACGAAGCGGACATCGGTCCTGACGCCCACGATTATGAAGATTACGAAGATAAGACGCCGGCTCCAGAGCCAGGCGCAGCGACGCCGGAGACGGCCACGCTATCATCGGGGCTGAGCGGGGCGACCAAGTCCCTTTCGAGGAACCTCGCCGACGAGCTCGATGATGTTGCGGGACCGGAACCGGCCTATGATGATTATGACGATGGGACCGAGGGTTTTAAACCTTCGGTGGCGAGTTCAAAGCATTAAGCATTGCTGAAAGCACCTCGCCCGCCTATCAACGCTGACACGCCAGCCGCCAGGTGCGTCTTCGGCCGCGTACAAGCGCTGATGCAGACTGATGATTGGATGCAGCTGTTCAAGCCCATCCACAAGCGCCAGGCCGACTGACCCGCGCTTGCGCAATTACTTCGATACCCAGTCAACTTGGTTTCGACTAGCCAAGTTGCCGAGGATTCAGTCTCGCTACTACTGTCGCTGGGCTTTGAGAACGAGACTTATCAATCGACGATGTCGCTCCAGGATTGGAGTCCACATGAAGCCGGAGCTGCTCTCCAGAAATGGAAGAAGAAGCTTCGGAAGGCGTTTGGCGCTGTTGGCATCAATGCCAGAAAGCAGCCTGTGAGTCGACCGATGCTTCAAGATGAAGATCCGTCTAAGATTCCACTGCCGCCGACGCCCCAACGACTCGTTCGTACTCCTCCGACCAAGCGTGGAGCTGAGCGTGGTGCCTTTGGCACTACCGAAGCCTCACCGTACTTTCAAGACTCGCACATGGTTACGCCACGCTCGGAGAGCCGTATGCAACGCATTTACGCAAGTAACGAGAGTTTGTTCGGTCGCCGAGGCGGTGCGCGAGCCCCCAAAGGTGGTGCCGGACGTCGTCAGGTTGACAGCGATGGTTCGTCCAGTGACGATGACATTTTGGTGCGTACATTCGACGAGGAAGATCCTCAACTCGAGTTGATGCGTCAGATGAATGACTGAACGACGTGGACCCAACACCGAGGATTGAAATGGCTTCGCACCGACCGCTGGATCGCATCACGCCGTTCTCAGGCTCTCGCAACAAAAGCGAGAACTGTATGCAGTGGCTCCGTGGGTTCGTCTATGAAATGACTGGAACCCACACAGATGCCGATAAATGGTGCATTCCATTTGAGCTAAGTCTCCGAGACGGAGCCATTCATTGGTTCCGTCAACTTCCGAAGAAGACGAAGCGCAAGTGGAAGCTGCTGAGCGATGCGTTCATCCGCTACTACTGCTCGCAGTTCACGCAGACGGCACTGTCGCGTTACTACTCCGCCAAGCGGGAACGAAATGAACATCTGTGCGACTACATAAACAGGCTGAACGGCTACGCTCGGACCGCCCGTCTACACTTTGAGAAGAGTGGTCGCGACGCGAAAGAACACGTACAGCAGTTCCTGGCAACATGCGACGATGACAAGCTAGCGGAGAGTCTCTACCACGCTCGAGTCGCCGACATTCACGAGCTCGAAGAGATCATCGAAGATGTTCTCAAGGGCAAGGAGAGAATGGCCAAGCGTGACAGTGAGTACCGATACTCTAAGAGTCGTGATACGCGACGCAACGATGGGTACGCCCGCAACAACCGGCGTGATGACCGTCGCCGCGATGACAACCGCAACAAACCAAGAGTGACACTCATTGAAGCTACGGTGGACGACCTACTAGCTGAATTAGAAGGTCGTGAAGCTGCTCAAGGAGGCAACGAGTATTCAAACGAAGATCCGAACGCTTACGACAATGTCCAAGATGAGTACAACGACTTTCAGCCCGATAATACGGATGGTGATTTCTCATTGGACGAAAATGACCGATATTCCGCCGCGGCTAGCGAATATGAGCGCTGTGCAGCCGCAGAACGCACCTACGCACGTTCAGAAAACCGTCAGACGCGTGGAAACACGCCTGATCGCGAGAATGGCTTCAATCAAGATCGCCGAAGTAGTGACCGTGGGTTCAATCAGGACCAACGCGGTCGACGTGACTTCAACCGCGACAACCGACGCCCACAGTACGGACCATGCGCGGTGTGCGGTGGCATGAGTCACTCCGCCCACTACTGTAACAAGCGATGCAAGTTCTGCAAGCAGCTCCACGATGCTGGACAATGCGAACTTTTCCGCAACTTCCAAGACCTTGCCAAATTCGTGCGCACTAAAGGCACGAAGGAGGAACTCCCGCCAGAGCTCAAGGCCGTCGTTCAAGAACGTCATTTAAACTAGGCAGCCCGCCAACTACAACTGGGTTGGTCCCTATCGGGCTGCCACAGTTAACCGAGCCTTCAATGGAAGCAGAGTGTATCTTTGCTTTCATGGGGCAGAGTGAATGGCCTGATAATTACGTAACAAGTGTGAACGCGACGGAAAAT